CCAGATCCTTCCTTCTTTCTTGCTGCCTCCGAGGCAGGCCTGCCTGGTAGCTGCGATGCAGATATGATGGCCGGCGCTCCAGCATCCACACTGGACCAGAAGCCGACCTTGGAAGTGAAAGTCATACACAACTGACCCGTCAGCGAGAAGGAGGTTTGGGCCTGGTGATGATGACACGTTCGCTCTAGCCCTTGACGATTTACCCCCGAGCTTCACTTGACAGAGAAATGTACTCTGTCTTGTCGAAACTGTTGGTCGAGGTATTCTAGAAAAAGCAGGCTTTAAACGGAGCGAAGGTGATTTTGTAGAAGCCCAGGGGCGTTCCCGGCAAGTGCAGGTGGGCAGAGACGGGGAGGATTTGTAGGGACGGTGTCAGAACAGGCAGGAGGGCGGCCGCCAGCATTCCCAAAACCAGCTCGCCCACCTCCTTTGGCCCGCCCTCTGCCCGGCCCTCCATCGGGGCCCAGACGCGCCCGTCCCTTCCCCGGAGGAGAGCCAGGCAGCCTCCGTGTCTGTCTTTCCATGCCCCGTCGTTCTCCTAATGCTGTCATCCTCCTAATGCTGTCATCTTCCAGGCGGGTCCCAGGGCCAGCAGCTTCGGCGTCACTGAGGACCTCATTCAAATGCAGGTTCTCCCGCGCCGCCCCACGCGCTCCCATCTCGGGAAGCACTGCCCCCCACGTGCGTTTTCATCGGCCCCCCGGTGATGGTGCCGCACACCGGCTGCCCACCCGGTGACACGGTGCCCACATCTGGCCCGAGGCCTGCTGGGAGGGGCGTGTCCGTTTTCAGCCGATGACCCTCCAGTGGCTGTGTGCGTCAGCTCCCTGTGTCCTGGCCAGCGCCGGGCTGGGACTAAGGACAGGACAGAGCACCACGGCACTAAATAGTCCCAACGTTTGGCGTTAAAGGAGTTCACTTGACTATCTCGGCCCGCCTGTGACAATGACTTGCAAAGATCCTGTCCCACAACTTGGAGGGAGCTGTGTTTCTGACACGGAATTTAGAATGATCGGTGGCAGCTGCAGCCCTAACACGCCCGCTCATGACGTGTCGTTTTGACATTCGACGGCGCAGCTCATTTGGCTGATGAAGTTGCAGAGTTTTTTGAACTTGGGTAAACGTGAGTTCTGAGCAGCCCTCCAAATACGTAGAAAAGAATAATAGGTGTATGTGGTCTGGTAATTTTGTTTTTCTTGCGATGCTTCTACCTTAGTTGTGTATTTGGCACAGATTTTAAAAATCAGGTTGTTTCACACAACTAAAGTTTTATTGGTCTCCACATGATGTCATTTTCCTGGCGCGGCTCATCTTTCTGCCGTGATTGTGCTGCTTTTCTCCTGGTTTTCTGATAATTTTGTTTTTACTGCGATGCTTCTGCCTTAGTTGTGTAGTCGGCGCAGATTTTAAAAATCAGGTTGTTTCACACAACTAAAGTTTTATTGGTCTCCACATGATGTCATTTTCCTGGCGCGGCTCATCTTTCTGCCGTGGTTGTGCTGCTTTTCTCCTGGTTTCCGTTCGTGGGTTCCTGACTTGCCATGTCCGCCCGGCTGTGTTGCTTGCGCATACGCTGTGAATGATAAATGCCCAAACTGGTCGCCGTGATGGCTGTGCCCCGGGGGAAGGGGTACACCGCGCACAGCGCTGACCACCTGCGTGTCCACCGAGTGCTGTGCCTTGGTGGACGGTGTCCTCTAACAAGACAAATGGACACAGATGGATCGTCAGATATGTAATACAGCCCTGGGTTTTCTGTGTGATGATAAATCTCCTGTTTTTTTCTTCTTTCTTTAATCCCTCTAACTCTGACCCAGTGCAGAGATGCAAAGAGTTTGCAGAAGGGATTGTTCCTAAGTAACATGGCTCATCAACAGTACCAGCAGCCAGTGGACGGAAGGGCAAGCTGTGGGCAGGAGACAGGTCAGCCAGGGCGCAGGAGACCGAAGGTGAAGAAGTCGGATTAGATCACAGGATGTGAGCCGCTGTCTGCGCACCCTGGTGACTGGGTGGCAGATGCTCAGCGCAGGCCGAGTGAATCATGGCATGGCCGCCTACCGGCCGCTTGACAAGCCACCACCTCCACGCCTCCGTGTCCCCTACCCTGTCAGTCACCGGTCACAGTTGACTCTGTGTCTGAACCTTGCCGTAAACTTCTTCCCATTTCCCACCTTTTTCCCATTTCCCGCTTCAAGACCTCATCGAACTTCTTCCTAAGGGACCTTGTCTTAAAAGCGTAGGCGCCTGACAGGTGTCAGGATGGCTGGTCTGAAACAAGGACGTGGTGATGTCACTGGTTTAGACCCCCACGGTGGCTTCCCGTTACAAGGTCCAGACTCCTCAGCATGCCATTAGACTGGGTTTCACGCACGTCCCCGATTTCTAATGCAATGTGCCGCTGTCCCCGCCCCGCATGACCGTCACCCCACGGGCGAGTGCTCAGGCCCGCGTTCCGTGTAAGCTGCTGCTTTCTCCCTCTCCTGGGCCGAGGCCTCCGAGGTCCAAGCAGACGGTACTTTGTTTGTCTGACTTTGGCCTTGCTCTCTTCCTCGTAGCCGCGGGCGGAGTGGGCGGCCCCCGTCTCAGCTTCCTTGTGCGTTGTGTGTGACCCTTCAGTGCCTCTTCACCTCGTGCTGGACGTTGGCCACCTGTGACAGCAGACCGATTCCCTGAGGGTGGTGGTTTATCTTCACGTCTGTCATTTAGCAGCGTGCCTAGCACTTTAAAAGTGCCCTGTCCATCACAGCGTTGAATCTCGGCGACGGCCGCACGAGGTCGGTGCTATTTGCCACACCCCCGTTTTGCACTCGAAGTAAACTGAGCTCAGAGGCCCCACGATGGCACACGGCAAACGGCAAACCGCGTGCCCAGCCCGGACCCGGCCAGCGCCGCTCTGCGTTTTTCCCGCCGTTCGCTTGCTGACCCAGTGGGCGCTGGGGACTCTGGTCCACTCAGGGCCAGTTCGGGGCTTTGGGGCAGCAGGAAAGTGGAAGACACCAATGCACCATCCATAAAAATAAGAGGCTTAGGAGAATCTTCAAGATGTAAAACAATTCAGTGTGTTGATTGGGTCTTAGAAATGTCCAGCTTGGGGTTTTGGGGCGGTGAGTGTAGAGGGAGCATCATTTTCTAACTGTGCAGCGTCTGTAGCACAGGACGCAGCTAGCACAGCCGTGGAACGCCCTGGATCGGTTTCTGGGACACTGCTGCCCCCTTACTTCCATCTTTATTACAAGTGCTCACAAAAGTCGGATAACGTAATTGAATTTTTACTGACACATGCAGTGCAGGGCTAGCCATTCGCATGTCAACTCTTTGAGACGGAGTACAGCACACGTAAGCATGATCGGGGTCAGCAAAATGTGTTGCAAAAAAAGGTGTCCTTTAGTCCATCTTAAATCGAAAAAATGCTTTAAGTGCCACGTACTACTAGGGCTTATATAAATGAGTGTGATATCAATTGTGTGTTTTCTTGGGTCGTCCTGGTTGTCAAATAGTTCACCTGAATGTAACATTTAACCCTTAAAAGTCTATAGAGTGAATGTTAGCAACACGGAGTGGTTCGATTCATTTTTTTTCGGTCATCTGATTTTTCTAGTAAACTTAGTAAAACATAGATTCAGTGTTTTAACGTCTCTTTTCTGTTATTTCTCTAGTGCTGTTAGTAACGGTGCTGGTCGTGGAAGGGATCGCCGTGGCCCAGAAGACCCAAGGTGAGTCACGCCACGTGTGCAGGGTGGAGGAGGCTTATCTGAAAGGGTTACAGCTTCAGGGGGCTGTTTCCATAGTCCCTCTGCCGTGTTCCAGTGACCTAAGGCTTCCTGTCTTCCTGTCGGCCTCGATGTAACTGGGTTCAGCTGCAGTTAACGCGAGTCAATTGTCGACATAAAGTCCTGCCTCAATAAATTTTAAAAATTGGCAGCACTAGTAGCTCCTGACTAACACACGCGTGCTGCCTCAATAAATTTTAAAAATTGGCAGCACTAGTGGCTCCTAACACACACGTGCACACGCGCACGTGCACACACACACACACACACACTACAGATTTTGTCCGAAAATTAAATGAGATTTATGCTTTATCACGAAGCAAAAATAAAAATCCATTTTTCCAGTGTAGACAAATGAAACATTTCCGTCAGCATCTCATTCAGCGCCCCCGGACCTGTCCTGATTGTCCGTTTGTGGCAGAAGATCAGCTAGTATGATTTTTGAACCAGATTTTCATGTCCGACTTGAGCACATTTCTTACACGACCTGATCCGTCTTTATTTTCCTCAGAGTTATACGTGCACGTGACAGAGGTCCAGGCACTCTAAAAAGTCAGGAAAACGCAGGCCCCCGCCCTGCCGGACGCCCCCGGACCTGTCCTGATTGTCCGTTTGTGGCAGAAGATCAGCTAGTATGATTTTTGAACCAGATTTTCATGTCCGACTTGAGCACATTTCTTACACGACCTGATCCGTCTTTATTTTCCTCAGAGTTATACGTGCACGTGACAGAGGTCCAGGCACTCTAAAAAGTCGGGGAAACCCACGCCCCCGCCCTGCCCGACCCCGCTCCCAGCTCCCTGGGGATCCCTGCTCCCAGCTCCCTGGGGATCCCCGCTCCCAGCTCCCTGGGGATCCCCGCTCCCAGCTGACCGTTTGGTGTCTGTGTCCCCACTTCGCTCTCACTGACTCGCTTCCTGTCACCGCTTAGTCACTTCCCATTCAAGTGTCCGCGAGGCTTTCCCACCGCGGGAGGTGAGGATTCGGCCCGCCGTGCACTCGCTCACCCTCCACCCCAGCCGCCACTCCATTTGGGACAGTTACGTCCTGAGTCTGGTTCCATCCGTGTTTGGGATTCACGTTAGGATTTCTGCTGAGCCTTTTCAATGCGAAAAGTTTGTGTTTCCGCTTGGAAAGTTCTCCTGTCCCTTGTCCTCTTCGTCCCCGCTGCGGCGTGCGAGGGCCGGAGTGGGCGGCGTGGACGAATGCCCGGGACTGCCCTGCAGCTTCTCGTGCGACAGGCCGCAGGCCACTCCGCCCGTGCTCAGGCCTCGGTCTGCAACCCTCCGTTCTCAGCTCTCCACTCAGTCCTTCATTTCTGTTTTGAGGAGCTTCCCTTTTTCCTTGGGGTGGTTTTTAAGTGTCCTTGTACCCAAGTTCTTATTTCGTGGATAGACTCTCTTTTTCCCTGAGGAGATGAAACGATAGTTTTGTTTTGGATGTCGCTTGTGTTTACAAGGGGGACATTCGACTCCGACCACTCACCGTCCGCGAGGCGGGGCTGCTGGCTGTGGCCCCACTGCCGAGGGGCCCGACACAGGCGAACCCCTTTGTCTGCATCGTCGGGTCTTTTTCTTCGGGCTCACTAGATTCCCCAGAGAAGCTTTCCGTCTCCTGCCACGAGACACCCCCCGCCCCCCACCTGACCAGGAGACCTCCCGGGAGTTGCGGGGGGCGGGGTCGTCGTGAGGTTCTTCAGTGTCACCCAGTCTCCCTGTTCTCAGGCCGGCGTCTGCACCCTCAGCTGTGCCCCGCTTTCTCTTCTCCAAGGGAAGAATCTCGTTTCCGATACAGGGACGGAGCAGCAGCGACAAGAATCCGCGGGGTCGGGAGGGCATCAGGACCGAAATCGATTCTAAATCGGGGTTGAAGCAAGACTCACCTCTCTAAAAGCCAGTGTCACTGCCAGGACCCCAGCCCGCCTCCTGGGACTGCGGGTCGTCGCCGTCGAGTGGTGCCAGCTGCCTCTTCGTCCTCGGAGGCTTCTGTCCTTTATAAAAGCTGCTCCTCTCCTGTTGGCGAAGCGGACTCCGGGGAGGAGCGCAGCCAGACGTGCGTGTCGCGTCTGCAGCCGCCCGGGAGACGCCCCCGTGCGGCCCGTGACTCTTAACTTGACTTTCGTCTTGAACTAGGGCAGAGACGTGCCGTAGCCGAGACGAACTGCTGCGACCCTTTTCATTTTATGTCACAGCCGAGTTTCACGCGGTTTTCCTGACGCCTGATTCTCCCCCTCGGTTTGGCCCCTGTGAGCCGGGCGCCTCGTGTCCCCGCTCTCCGGCGGCATCCCCCGGTCGCGGCCTCGTCACGCATGTGCGTGCGAGCGTGTGTGCGTGTAGCGTGTGTGCATGTAGCGTGTGCGCGTGTAGCAGAGCGGGCAGTTCTTGGGGGAGCTGGGGAAAGAGGATGCTGTTCTCTGTTGTCGTCACGAACGTTTTAAATGCTGTCTTCTCCTCAGATGGACAAAACATCGGAATCAAGCACGTTCCTACGACCCAGTGTGGCATCTGGGTTCGAACCAGCAATGGGGGACATTTCGCTTCGCCTAATTACCCCGACTCGTACCCGCCGAACAAGGAGTGTATCTACATTTTGGAAGGTATCTGACCAATTTCTGTCTTCTACCGAATGAAGTCTAAAACTAAACGCTTCGGTAAAGTTTCCCGTTGTAACCCATTCGAACAGAATTAAACGTGTATTTGAATTAAACTCCAGTAATTATAAATATCTTTGAATATTGAACACAAGATGTAATGGTTGAAATACTATCGGGATTCTGAATCTCCTGAGACGTAATTCAACGAGATGCACCAGGAGGTACGAGAAGTTTCTCCGAGAAGACACTTAAGCTAACTGGCGTCCCTCGCGGGGCAGCATGAGAACGCGTGTCCATAGCTGCTCTGGTCGATCCTTTCGTGTCTTATTTTTCTGTTCGCCATGATACCCCGTATCTCACGAACCAAGCATTAGCTTCTCCACCCTAACGGGAACCCGTTAAGTCCACTGAACTCATTTGATAAGTAGCCTGGGCGGAGGGGACGGTGACGCTGGGTCCGCAGAGCAGCGTTGTCGTTATTATTCGTGTGACCTGTGACATTCCTCGTGCACGTGACATAAAGCGCTCTCATGGTGGCGCCCATTACGAACCGTCAGCCCTGGTCTCGTTGGTGTCGCCCTCATTTGCTTACTCTTCCCTTCTAGCTGCTCCGCGTCAAAGAGTAGAGTTGACCTTCGACGAACATTTTTACATAGAACCATCATTCGAATGTCGCTTCGACCACCTGGAAATTCGAGACGGGCCGTTCGGCTTCTCCCCACTCATAGATCGCTTCTGCGGCGTGAAGAGCCCCCCGTTAATTAGATCCACGGGGAGGTTCATGTGGGTTAAGTTCAGTTCTGACGAAGAACTTGAAGGACTGGGATTTCGAGCAAAATATTCATTTATTCCAGGTAACGCAATTGCCTTATTCAGTGGTTAGGCCTCGCTCTGATGGTAGAATCTGAAGGCTGGAAAAGAGATAATTCAGTCACGTTAACCCTTTAAGACATGGAAACACAAGACACACAAGGTATCGTTCCTGTATTCAAAGAGTTACAAACTAACAAGATGAAAAAGCAACGTAGTATAACTTAGTTTTCAGTCCTTTTGCTTTTATTTATCTTTTCATGCAAGAAATTTGTTAATTGAAAAGAATGAAAACAGATCGAAATGAAAAAACATCCATAATCTTACCACCCTATGTATAAAAAACCGTCATGGAGAATTTGGCGTTTATCCCTCAGATGTTTTTCTGTATTTTGTTTGTTTGTTTTACCTGAGAGCATCTTGTACATACAGGTACATTACCTGCTTTATTACCTGCTTTTTGCCTGAACAAAGTCACCTTTTTTTTTCCCCCAATCACTAAACATATTATGGGAATTTTTAAGTGTTGCTTCAATATTTATCTTTTCAATGCCAAAAGGATAACATCTTCAAAAAGTGAAACTTACCTGATAGACTATTTTTTAGAATAGTTTTAAGTTCACAGCAAAACCGAGCAGAAAGTACAGATCCCATGTACCCCTTAACCCGCACCACACACGGCCGCCTCCAAATCAACGCCCCCTCCCCTCCCCAGGTGGTCCATTAGCTCCTGTCGATGAATCTGTCGACACATCACGATCTCCCAGAGTCCGCAGTGTACGTCAGGGTTCACTCTTGGCATCGTACGTTTCCATGGGTTTGGACAAACGTATAACGACATGTATCCATCATGACATCATCACACAGTATTTCTAGTGCCCTAAAAACCGTCTGTGCTCACCCGTTCACCCCTCCTGCCCCGACCCCTGGCAGCCGCTGATCTTTTCACTGTCTCCATAGTTCTGCCTTTTCCAGAATATCGTAGAGTTGGAATCATACAGTACGTAGCCTTTTCAGCCCGGCTTCTTTCACTCGCTAATATGCATTTAAGGTTCTTCCATGTTTTTTCGTGGCTCAGAACTCATTTCTTTTTAACACTAAATAACATTCCATTGTCTTGGTGTCCCTCAGTCTGTTGATCCATTCTATTGAAGAGTATCTTGGCTGCTTCCGAGTTTTAGCCATTACGAATAAACCTGCTATAAGCATCCACATGCACATTTTTGTGTGGAGAAGTTTTTAACTCATTTGGGTAAATAATCAAGGAGCACAACCGATGGATCATAGTGAAATTTATTTGTCATTTTTGTGTGAATGGATGGTGATGGTTGCACAGCATCGTGAAATGTACTTAATGCCACTGAATTGTACACTGAGAAATGTGTAAAAGGGTAAATGTTACGTTATATATATTTTACTACAATAAAAATAAATTTTAAAAAATTACAAACAGGTGTCTCAAAAAACCTTAATTGGAAAGTCCAGATAGGACCTATATATACCAAATTGCCAAAAGGAAAACAAATTGCTAGTCTAAAACGTCTCAGAATCTTTAATAAGACTAAAACCTATTTTAATGCAGTTGTTGTATATAATTGGGTGCTCAATTCTTGTTAAAATGGTTTTCAACTCCAGATATTTTGTCATGCTTATTAAATTACATATTGAAAAAAGTAGAGGGGTGATTTTTAGCTTAATTTAGAAAACATCTCAGAGACGATTCTTTAACTTAGTGAACTAAACCCAGCTAGGGGAGCAATTAATTACTTTTGAGATCTTTTGCGGAGAAGTTTAAACCTTAAACGGCATTGGAGTACAAGTCACAGGAGCTCTCTGACAGATGAGTCAGAATTTCTTCATATGTAGGCAGAAACTCTAGGACACTGCCATTGCTGCATTAAAACTTCCAGAATTCTCCGTTACTTACAGGAAGTAGCAATCCATTAAGAGCCTCCGCCTCAACCAGTATCACTAGGAGCTTAGAGAATTTCATTGAAAAAAATACTAATTTCTCATCATCGTTAATAGGTTTCTTCCAGATTTACCAGTTCCTAAACAATTTATAAATATGATTTTAAATAACTAAACACAGCCGTAATTTAGCTAATTATGCATTGCCTGTTTATTTTGACATTTCTTTTAGTGCTAAAATTGGGGAATTCTCACCTACATTATAAGGACAGCACGATAGAGTAAGAAAAACTGTCTAGAGAATTAAAATCCAGCCCCGGCTTTGCTGTTATATCATCTAAGAAAATACAATCTCTCTGATTCAGTTACCTCATTTATGAAATGGAATATTATGTAATCCTCCTGACATGACTTTCATTGGCATAATATTAAATGTGATGTATATTAACAACTGAAGTTCTATAAAATGCAAATGTAGGGTAATACAGTCTAGGAATCCTAAGCATTTTACTATAATTTGTCTATAGTTTAACTATAAGCCATATCAAGTTGCTTTCATGATACAGCTAATAGAGCTAATTCTTACTCTGTTCAGAATAAGAACCTTTCCATAGAAAGTTGCCTGATTTTGTTTTTTAATATTTAAAAACATTATTCAAATAATTAAGAGCATTGTTTTTTAATATCTGTTTTTTCTTTCAGGTAATCTAAACTCATTTGCAAAGATCCGATTCATGTATAAGATTTTGTAACGTATCTTTTTGACAGGAAAGTACCTTTTACTTCCATTAATTCATTTAGTTCATAAAAATCAAACAACCCCCAATTTATTTAAATCGCTTATTTTGATAAAAACTTTTGGTTCTCAGTCTTCTGTGAACTACTTCACAGGGCAGAAGAGTCTGTGTATCACCTCGTCTTCCCCTGCCCTTGTGAAAAAACCCTCACTAGCTGCTACTGTTTTTTGCGTGTGTGGGGTAAATTTTATACGACATAAAATACATCATTTCAACCCTTTTTAAGTGGCATTAAGTACGTTCACGGTGTGGTGCGACCATCGCCACCTTCCACCTCCAGAATGTCTTGGCCGTCCCAACCGGACACTGTCCGTTAAGCGCTAGCTCCTTGTTCCCGCCCGTCCAGCCTGGTCCTCACTGTCTCTGAATTTGACTGTTCTAGTTATTTCACATGAGTGGGATCCTACAGTATTTGTCCTTTAGTGTCTGGCTTGTTTGAAACACTCAGCGTGTTTCAGGTTCATCCATGCTGTAGCGTATGTTAGAATTCCATTCCTTTTTAAGGCTGAGTAAGACTCCTTTGTGTTGTGTATATCACATTTTGCTATCCTATCCGTCCGTCAGTGGACTAGCTACTGCTTTGACAGGATCCTGAGTTTTCAGGTAGCATAAATAAGTTATTAATGCATGCTGGGATCAAAAGCGTAAACACTATCATTTTAAAAACTTTGATCCTGTAAGTGAGCACCTGCGTATGCTTGTCAGTAACCGGTGGTCTATAGTCCACGCCCGTGGAAGTGTTCTTGTGCATCGTTATTAAACGTAGCATCAGACATAAGATGTTAAGTCGCAAAGGGACTCAAGATATCGCAGAATGCCAATGACTTTCTTCTTTTTTCTGTTGCAGATCCAGACTTTACGTACCTAGGAGGTATTTTAAATCCCATCCCAGGTTTAGTATATTACCTGTCTTCCTCGTGGCGTTTTTGATCGGTCTTCTTTTCCTTTGAACGTATTTCATCCATTCTTTCTAGATTGCCAGTTTGAGCTCTCGGGAGCCGATGGGATAGTACGCTCTAGTCAGGTAGAACAAGAAGAAAAGACGAAGCCTGGCCAAGCCGTCGATTGCATATGGACAATCAAAGCTACTCCGAAAGCTAAGGTATAAATAACTCCGTGTCGAGTCCCTTCAGAGAAGAACATGAGATGTGATTTGTAAAATATGTCATTTTGATTTATGCTCCTACTTACTGATTACATAAGCCGCTGTTACAACTTTTTAAATTTCTCTTATTGCATTCACGTTAGTCACCTCCCAGGATCTCAACACTGTGATGGCTAAATAGGCTACAGTGTACATTTTATCCCGACTCTTATTTTAAGAATCTTAAGATTCTTAAAATCTGCATGTTCCTAATCGAAGAGTGCAGGTATTGATTGGTATGACTGCAAATTTATAAAAACATTTTTATGATGAGGAAAAATGGGTCACAAGAAGTTAAAGAATCTTGTCAAAACATCTCGGTCACAGCAGTGTCAAAACCCCGGCGCCAGCACGTTGAGTCTCAGTTCTGTGCTGGCCGCGTCATCTGTCCTCTCTGCTCGTCGAGCTTTCGGCCGACAGTACTGCGGGGAAGGATGTTTTAAATAACTGACAGATTGAGACTGGGTGCTCACTACTTCTGCTCTTTGCTTTGAATTCGTACTTTCAACAGAGTTAAAATTATATTCCATGTGCATATATGTAAGAAGAGAAAAGAGGAAAAGCGAGGGAAACAGACCTTTAAAAAATTACGAACACCCAGTTAACAGTTACAGTAATGTGACGGATTCGATAAAAAGGAGGTCATTCTTGCAGAATCGAAATGAAGACAGAGAACTGTAAACCAGAGCAGTAAACTGAACACTGAAATCGACGGCACAGATGCCATCAGACATGGAGACACGGGGACCGGTGGACGTGGCAGAAGCGTGGTGTCTCAGCCACGCGACACAGACGCAGAAAGGTCTGGGGTTCACGTCACCTTTGCGGAATCCCCCACACAGAGCCTCAAATGGAGACGATTGTTATGCGAGGCGAGAAAAAATACTCCGCTAGCACAGGTGTTTGGTCAATTCTTGAACATGTTCTTAGGCAGAGCATCCTCTGACAGAATGCAGTTCAATCAGGAACCAGCAACCACAGGTAACTTTGAAACACCGTATGTTTGGAAAGTTAATAATACACCACTTAGTGATTGATAGGTCAGAGAAGAAATCGGTTGGAAATCGAACATGTTTAAAACTCGATAAAACAAAGTACTACATCTCGAAATGTGTGGGATGCGGCTAAACTAGTAACAACATCCAGGCAGAACCTCCACCTGCAAAAAATTACGACCCGCTGAAGGCTCAGATGGTTAGCATTTTTTAGCAATAAAGCACTTTTTAATTAAGGTGTGTACATTGTGTATATAGACATAATTCTCTCGCACACTTGATAGACGACAGTATAGTATAAACAGAACTTGTGCGGGCACTGGGAAACCAAAACATTTGTAATACTCGCTTTATCTCAGTCCTCGCTTCGTGGGCACTGGTCCGGAACTTTTTCTGGGGAGCTCAGCAAGCTCATTCCAAAATTCACATGGACGATGAAGGATCCGGGAGAACCTGACCATTTTGAATAAAAACAAAGCGAGGATACTTACTCTCCAAGCGAAAAGCGTGGTGGTTGGACTACTGTAGGCAGGTGTCACTCGGATATACAAACTAGTAAAACCGAATAACGTATGTGCACACGAGCGGGAGCTCGGCATCTCACCGACGTAGCGCGTTGCGGGTGGGAAGGAGATGCCTGATCATCGGCACGACGGTTGGCTAGTGACATTAGACCCTGCCTTACGCTTGACGCGCGCTCAATTCTCAAAGGTTAAAACTAAAACCCGTATAAGAAAATACAGTACAGTCCTATGACTTTTGGTTAGGAACCAGTTTTATTCAAATCAAACACAGACGACGCAAAGTGTCCACCACAAAAGTGAAATTCATCGATTTTACTATATTGAAATAAGCTCAGCCTCCAAAATCAGCCAAGTCGGAGGAAGCCCACGACGGCTTATTTCTCTTAGTTTACGACAACTGAAAATTCTGAATAGACTACAAAAAAGCAGTATGAGAGAATTCTGAAAAGGAAGTCAAAACCTGAAATTTGGTTTTTTCCTTCTTTGTCTCCTGGGCTGATTTCTGGAGCTCATATCAGGATCAGGTAGCAGGAGCTCACAGAAAGCAGAGCGCTAACAAAAGGACCCCTCCAAACAGCGAGGGGGGGGTCCCCGGACTTGCTTCCCCCGTCCACCAGCTCAGCCAGCGTCAGCCGCGGTCACAGATTCAGTGTAGCAGTCAGCACTGAGACCCCAGGAGAAACCCCAGTTTTTCAGTAGTGGAACGGGGGAGAGGCGATGTAGATGGCTGGAGTTTTTCGAGGACCCCCATTATTTTTTCTCCGTCTCTCAGTCTCTCCGAACTCCAAGCAGATTAGGAGGCCAGAGCTTTGAGTGAAGTTGAACTTTCTGGGCACCAGAGGGGCCGGGAAGAGGAATCCATGTCACCCAGGAGACCGGAGGGAAGCCATGGAGAAGGGGGAGCCCGGGACGGGGCTAAGTCCCGAGCTGCGTGCACAGGAAACACAGCGAAGGCACCGACACCCAAACGACAGGAGAAACTGCCGCCTGCCTCCCTGAGTGGGGACGCCCTGTGCAAGCCCACCCGGCGCTGGCATCGCCCCCACTGCCCGCACGAGTGTCACGCTGTCCGCACCTACCTGGGCGGGCCGCCGGCCGAGACGGAACACGCCAATGAAAAGTGCCGCTCACCAGGGTTTGCGACAGGACCCGGAGTCTCACAATGTTAGGTTCAGAATGTCCAGGATATAATACATTATATAGAACGAACCGAGGAAATACGATTAATTCCGAAAGGGAAAAAATAATAATAATCAATGGATCCCAGCCATGGCAGGGCCCAGCTGGAGGAATGATCAGATTTTTTAAAGTAGCAGCTCATCCAGGCTCCGCGAGGAAGAGGTGGATAGTCCTGAAATGGCTGGAAACAGAGGCCTTGGCGGAGAAATAGAAACTATAAAAAAGAAGCAAGTAAGAACTCTGGAACTAAAAATGGAAAACATAATGTCTGCAGATTTGAGCAAAATATTCACCGTGTGGGCCCAGTGGGGGAGCAGAGATGCAGAGGAAGAGCCACCGTCGGCGTGAGGAAGACGCCGTGGAAGCTTCGGTCTGAAGCACCGAGAAGATGAGACCGAAAACACACGGGCCTCGGGGGCCCGCGGGGCGATGTCGGGAAGGCTAAAGTGGTTGATGGGGGAAGAGCTTAAAACCGCGCAGGTATGTCGGGGGGAGACCGTGGGTAAACCAGCGACAGGACATCGTGGGGACGAAGAGCCACGTGCAAGATGAAGACAGCTGGACGTGCCACCGCAACAGCAGGCACGCGCACCTTACAGGTAAACTTCGGCTTGAAAACGCGAAGAAAAATTGAAAAGGAACTCGCCAGTTAATCACGATGACTCTGAGAGTAATAAAATTGTGAGTGACCGTTTTATTTGCCCAATGCGTCAGGACCGTGAGACTGCTATTATAATAAGGAAAATACATACGATGGTTACGCCTCACAGAGCACGAAGTTTCTTCTGTTTAGAGACAAAACGCAAACTTCAGGCTCCTTCGTGCTCGGTGCCATAATGGGGACAACCAAAGAAACAGACTATTAGTCCTAGTTTTTTTTACTGCGTAGGCACCGGTCTTCTGTCTGCTGTTTTCCCGTAAGCTGTCATAGCTCAATTCGGTCTCCCGTGTTGCTGGATAATAGAACTGGAAATTGCAAATCACTGTGTCTCTTTAAACCCGTGTTTGTCTTGGTTTCGATGTTGCAGATCTATCTGAGGTTCCTGGATTACCAAATGGAGCACTCCAACGAATGCAAGAGGAACTTTGTCGCCGTGTACGACGGAAGCAGTTCCATTGAGAACCTGAAGGCCAAGTTTTGCAGCACGGTGGCCAATGACGTGACGCTGAAAACCGGGGTGGGGGTCATCCGGATGTGGGCCGATGAAGGCAGCCGGCTGAGCAGGTTCAGGATGCTCTTCACGTCCTTCGTGGAGCGTAAGCACACCCTACCCTGCCCTTCCCGCGGCGCCCGGGTCACACGCGTGACGTTCCCGCAGGATGCGATCGTGGCGCGTTTGCTTTTGACAAGACTGCAGGTCCCAGGGTGTACAGTAACTGAGTCTTAGTCCCTCTTCTCGAGGAACCGGCTGTCCTGGGTGACAAAAAACCACGTTAATGCATAAATCACGGCACTGCCTTGTTACCAAGGTGTGTGCCGAGGACGGGGACCACAGGAAGCGGAGCCTTCTCAAGGTTTCAAACTTAAAAATAATCATCACTCGTAGGAATTGAGCTCAATGAATAGTTACGAGTCCACTAAACCATGATCGCCAAAGATTTAGATCGTTTTTTTTTGGGGGGGGGGCGGTTTGTTTGTTTGTTTTGACTTTTTATTTTTAAATAATTTAAGCTTCTGGAAAGTTGTAAAAACCGTACAGATGTGATATCGTTAACCGACCAAGAGACCTCGTTCACACGTCACTGGTTTTCCCAGGAGCGTCCCTGTCCGACCTGGGGCCACACGCTGCATCTGCTTGTCACGTCTCCTCCACCCGCGACACTTCCGTGTGGCAGGGCCTCAGGGAGAGCCGGCCGGTTATTTGGTAGAACGTGCATCGGTTTAGGCTGGTCCGGCGCGTCCTCACGGACTGAACAGGGGCTGTGCATTTCTGTCTGGAACACACAGAACCTCGGCCGGAGCCTCTGGGTGCCCCGCTCAGGAGGGAGGGCACGCGGGGACCTGCCGGGCCCTGCCTTCGAGCGCTGTGCTGTCACCAGGGGTCTCCACCCTGAAGTCACTCCTTTGTTCCTTTCTGATTAACGGGTCCCCTCGAGACCGTGCAGATGTCCTTCTGCTCGCTAGTTTTCACCTCCGTCAGTGGCTCCCGCCTGTGAAGGTTGTCGCCGGGGCGTTTGTCCGAAGGCCGCATCCGTTGCCATCTTTCCTTCTGCACTCTTGTCATTCTGCTGCGAGGAGGAGCTCGTCCTTTGTCCCTCGCATGTTTGTTCGGTTATTTGTACCAGCACGAGCTCGCGGCTGTCTATTTTATCCCATTGCTATACTTGCCGTATTCACGTAAATTATTTTATTCCACGATGCCCCCACTGTTCTGTGGCTCCGAGTCCCAGCCACGGCCGCGGGGCCCTCCGCCCAGCCGCCCCCCGTTCCAGCGCGCCGTTCTCGGTGTTTTTAGTCAGTCCCTCGCTTCTGTTGCCATGTGAACAGGCTCGACCTGTGTCGGGCCCGCCCCGGCCCCTCCTGTCTCGCAGTGAGAAACCCGGTGTAATACACTGAGGACCCGGTGTATTTATCCGTCGAATCCTGGTTCACGCATAAGGTACTTTTATGTCTTTGCCTTGCTTTGAGTGGCATATTCAAGAAATCACTGCCAAAGACAAGGTCGTGAAGCTTTTTGTCCTGCGCTTTCTTCTAAGGGTTTTATGGTTTCAGCTCTTACGTTTAGGTCTTTGACCCATTTCAAGTTATTTTTTTAATATGGTGAAAGGGACGGGTCCAGCTTCATTCTTTCGCATGTGGATGTCCAGTTTTCCCACGACCTTTTGTTGAAATGACCGTCCTTACCCGCTGACCGGGCTTGGCACCTTGTCCTAAGTCAGTCGACCTCATATGTGAGGGTTTATCTGAGGACTTCTGTCCTAGTCCATGGTCTTGGTGTCTGTCCTCACGCCACCGCCACCTGTGTGGTTACCAAAGCTTCGTGGTGAGTTTTGAAACCGCGAAGAGTGAGTCCTCCAGCTTTCGCAAGATAGTTCAAGCCATGGTCGTAGTGACCACGTCCAGGATTTATCATATCTGAACTCTTCAGTTATCGTCGTAAAGGACTTTGGGAGACGCTGGGTGGTCCCTTGGGTTAGGAAGCCGATCGAGCCAGCCAGCCTTCCTGCCCTCCAGTCCCTATTAGCATTTATCATACAAGGTGCTGTGTTTGCTGTGAAGATACGAAAAAAAATCGGGAGAAACAGTCCCTGTCCTGAAGGATCTCATAGTCACCTAAGCAAGGTGATATGTATGCAAATGAGGCAGATACAAGCTTGACTGAGACAAAGGCCATTTGGGACAGAAAATAGTGCTTTTTCGAAAATTAAATATCTGTTACTTCTAGCAGGCAGTATCAGTGATGGCCCAGGTGGTCCTGGAAGGGAGGCCCTTTGAGTTTATCCTTGCGGGTGAGAAGATTCTAGAAGGTAGACATGTTCATCGAGGTTTTTATTACAAGCAGAGGCAACAGAATGAACAGAGGCATGGACCAGAGCTTATTGGGGGCACAAAAAGTAGCGGAAAGAAAGGGGCACAGAGAAATGAGGCGGGAAAGGTAGGGTACGGCTCCAATGTAAAGGCCTTTGAATTAAAGACTAGATTTAGACTTTACGTCACAGGCATTGGGGAGTTGTGAAGGGTTTTGTGCTACAAAGTGACATAACCAGCGCGGTGTTGGGGTGCGGAGGCCAACCTGGAGGTCACCTCCATGTCAAGGCTGGGACCAGAGCAGTGACACGGGTTCGAGGGCTGTGGACGCAGAATCAGAAAGACGTGGTGACTCAGCAAGACGAAAAGCATCAGAGAATGAGTCACAGAGGCCTGCAGTTTGGGGTCTGACTGACTTGGAAAATGGAAGTTTTCTGTGAGTAAACTTTTCCTCTGGTTGCCTCATGGATATAACCTCAGTTTGTTTTTATAAAAAAAAAAATTTTTTTTTGAGAACTCGCCAGACTTGCAAAATGAAAAACAACTGTACAAAGGTCTTGGCTGTTTCAGATAACTACACATCAGTGCTTGATGTAGAAACGGGGTTGGCAAGAAAGCCTTGCAGCCTCTGGCTATTTTTCCATGGATTTGTCACCAGCATCTACACCTGCGCTTCCCAGCGTGGTGTCCATCGGCCGCACGTAGCTGTTGGCACATATAATACGACCAGTGTAAACTGAAATGTGCTGTGACTATAAAACCACATCGCAGATTTCGGGGACTTGGTGTGAAATCAGGAATGTAAGTGACCTCGTTAACAGTGTTTCATGGACGCACCTCGGAGGCTTTGCAGGTTTTGTGCCGGACCACACCCGTGAGTGAAGCGAGCCGCACGTTGTTCGGTCGCCCAGTGCATGTGACAGTTGTGTTTACACTACGCTGCAGTCGATTAAGTGTGCAGTAGTGTTGTCAAAAAAAAACCAGCGTGCACACCTTAATTTGAAAGAACTTTCTCGCTAAAAAACGCCACCCATCACCTGAGCCTCGGCGAGCCACACCATTGTGCTGGTGCGGGTCCGGCCCCGCCGCTCATGGCCGCTGCCCGGCCGGGGCCATTACTACTCTCTGTCCTAAATCTTAATCTAGGATAAGTTCCCCTAAATTGTGTTTCCTCAGTGTCCAGTAATATAAATTGTACAACCATTAGACTGCAATCAGAAACCCAGATAGGTTTCCAGGGGTCAGGTTCCAAAGGTTATATTGACGTGTTTG